AATGATGCTGCTAAATAAATGAGTCGCCTGTGAATTACAGGGCAGTAAATACATCTACTGACACCTAATAAAGCAAGTCAGAGTGAAGTTCCAGTGCTTTATGGTGTCACAAGAACCCACTGATGTATTTATAGCTTGCTTCACAGATTTTCCTTTAAAAAATGTTTATGTTTATATTTGTGCAGGTTGGCTCTTTCGACCTTTCTTCTGTTTGTTTGCAGGGCAGCCTGCCCACCAGTTTGTAGCAAACCAGCTTCTGTGGGCAGAAATTAGAAAGGAAGACAAGTGACACAGGATGTAAAAGGCAGTAGTTTATGCGTCTGCTGAACAGGGGTTGTCAAACACACTGCAGCCTCTGGCACAAGCTAGGGCCTGCTTGTGTGTCCCTTTTATGGGCCCCCTGCTCCCATGTTCAGTGGAGGGAGCTTTATCATATGGCAGGATGAGGGAAAGTAGAAGTGGCTCATGACATTTTCTCACCTCTGCCCAAGAGACAACTGGCAGAAGCAGAAATGAGGGTGGAGGAAGGCACCCCCTTTGATTCAAGACTGCATTAAATGGAAATTAACAGCAGCGGAGGTTGTGTGCGCCTTCTGAGCCAGGAGGCAAGCAGAGCTGGAAAAGCAGAGGTGGAGAAGATTTGTGCAAGGGGTTGGAGTAGATGACCCCTGACATCCCTTTCAACCCTGTGATTCTAAGGTTGAATCTATTGCTGATGTTAATGATTATTAATGAGAGTTTTGCCATGGGCTTTCACGTGAATAGGATCAGACCCTACACTGTAAAATGTTCTGAAGCTGCCTGGATTTACTTTCCTTAAATGGGGCCAGTGACTGAGCTTCTAGTATAGTTAGCTGTCTCTCCAAACACGGTAGCTAAAGACAGAGAACAAAATTATGATAGGCCAGATTGTTGTTGCTTTCCTGCTAACTGGCTGGACTAGTTATTGTTATTAATTTATTTTTATCAGTATATTTTCTGTGTTTTAGCAACCTGCTATTTGGTGATGGGCTATCCTTTTAAATCTTTCCTCAGGAAATGAGCAAATTTCCCATGTGTTGAGTAACTGACAAACATTTCAAAATATGGTGCCTGACTTTGCCTTTGAATTGAATGAATTAAAACTTTTGGGGAGATGACCTGGGATTTAGCGGTTAAACAGGAGACTGAGACAGGGCTTCTTGACTGTACTCTGAGAAACAGTATGATCTAGTGGCTGTAGCAGCATGACTGGCAGGCTAGACTCTTGGTTTCTATTCCCATTTAACCTCTGTGTGCCTTTCTTTCCATATTTGCAAATTGGGACATGGAGTTCTTGTAAGGTTTAATTAATACATGTTTGTAAACCAGTTTGAAATTCTGGGATGCAAGATAAATGCAAAATTTATTAGTCTTATTTTCCAGTCAACTACTCACAACTGTCAGTGATTGGCTCCATCAAAACACAGCAACAATCCTGGCTGTTTCAGCTAGTACTTTAGATTGCTTAAGCTAGAAAATAAGTGAGTGGAAAGTAAATTACAGATGTGTCAAGCTAAAGTAAAAGCTCCAAGTGTGAAGTTCCATTTGCCCATTACAAAATGCTTATGATGTATGTGGAATGGTTATTTGGTGCCCCCTGAGTGAAGTAGCATAAAGATCCATGTAAGAATTCCCTGTGTCTTCACTGCACTCAGTTCAAATTAGTTTCCAAAAATATTGACTCTGTGTTTCATAAATACCTGTGAACTGAGAAGAGTTTGGCAGGTTTGAAGGAAGAAAGGGAAGGGGAGGGATGTCCAGTGCCAAAAATATGTGAAACTCCCTGACATAAAGAGGTTTATTAATTTCTACAGTAAGGTGATGATTACCAATAGTTATATAAACAGAATTCATCAGGAGGTAGCCTAGTTTGGGGTCTTGGCCACCAAAATGAGAGTTATAGGTCTTTGGCACTGACTTACTTGAGTGGTCTTCAGTAAATCACTTTACCATTTTACCCCAGTTTCCCTGTGTTAAATGAAGATGTTGGTAATGCAAATTGATATGCAACCTGAGATCTCCAAGTGAAAATGTGTTGTAAGTATTAAATATTATTGTATGATGTCTTTTGTAAAATGCAAAAGTAACCATTTAGCTAGTTTCTAACTTCCTAATTTGGACTTAATTAGTTTAGATTCAGCTTACTGTTGGAGAAGCATAAAAGAGTCATTCTATAATAAAAGCTATATAGCGATGTGAAATAATTGTGTTCATCACATCCTTGCACTGTTCTGGTGCAAGGAGGTATTGGAAAGCACAGAAACTTTTATTTAGCAGCATATCCAGGAGCTGAAAGGTAAATACAGTAAAAAAAAAAAAAAAACCAAAACAACCTTTTTAAATGTGCTTTATACATGCAAGCAAGAGCCTCTTGCTTTGCACCTCCTGGTTCTGCAGGCCTCTCTTGGCCTCTCTTTCATTTCAAATCACAGCTAAGAATGTGAGCAACACCCGGTCTCTCTCAATATTACTTTCCCCCTCTGCTCCCAACATCTTTTGACCTCTTCAAAACATTTTGGTCCAAAATTGCTGTCTCCTGGTGTGACTCTTGCACACCCACTAAGATCGCATTGTCCAGAGTCCAGAGATCTCGTTTGCCTAGCATCTGGCACACAAGTCCTGAGCTCTCTGTGCGTAGCTTTGGCGAGATGTGGCTGAAGAAGTCTCAGCAGAAAGCCTCCTACTTGTGACCACAGATGGCCAGGCCATTTGGCAAGTGGCTGTCCCCCTCCCACTCTGTGCTGTCCGCTTCCCTCTTCGCTGCTGACATGTTGTTGATGCCAAACAAACAGAAGAAAATGTTCTCCTTTTCAAGCAAAAGGCTGCCTATGTTAGAAGTGCTGCATCTTTTTGTTTTTTCCTCCCCTTGTGGCTGTGATAAATAAATATGGTAATTCTGATTGAAAAAGGGAACACGATGCGCTTGGAATGAACCTAGATGCCCTGTGGGGTGGTAGATCATTTCTCCACTGTATGTTTGGAATAGGTATTTTAGTCACGGAGAACAGATTCTACCCCAAACAGATGCATGATCTGCTTCCCAGAAATGCTTGCTCTCTCCACTGGACTTCACTGGAGTTGTGGATGCTCAGCACTCTTTAAAATCAGGTACATGCGGTGCTTTTCACTCTGGATTCACCTTTCTTTACTCTGAAAATCTATAAAGAGATGTGAGCATCCAGACGCTGTGGCCAGGTACAGACATTACACTTTTACCGGTATAAGTTATTGGGAACTGGTCTATATGCATAACAGAAGTTCAGCACACATGAACTGGTTTCAAAATGGCTGAACCCAGGATAAAATTTGCCACCCGCCACCAAAGGGCAAATGTGTGTTGTGTTTGCTACCAATCTAAATTACGCAGTTTTCTGTAAGGCGTAACTTGGATTGATTTTGCCTCTGGCTTTTTGAATGTCTGACAGAGCCATTAACAATCAGACTGCATGTGCTTTTGCGCAGGGCCAGACAGAGGCATGGGCCAACTAGGTGGCTGCCTGGGGCCTGGACAGAAAGCGGGTCTGAAAATGGTAATTTTTTATTATTATCATTATCTCTGGTGAAGGGGAATGAGACTACAAGTTTGCCTGGGGCCACCAGGAGTCTAGGTACAGTACTGCTCTTGTGCCTTTTCCAGGAACTGGCCCCTCAAGCTTGGGGGCCAGAAGGGTCTGTGCCAGATGACAGAGAAGGGATTGCCAGCAGGCTCCTGCCTCTGCAAACACCGGGTTTTTGCTTGGTTTTCCTGCTGCTCTCGGGATGATGGTGGGGACCGTCTTGCACTCACTCTGAGGCGAGATGTGACCCTTTTTTATTATAATTTTCTATACCTAGAACTTTTTTTTTCTTTTCTTTTTTGTATCTGGAAATGAAGGAAGCGCGGGGCGCAGCAGAGCAGGCTTCAGGCACGGGGAGGAAGACGGGAAGGTGCGTGTGTAAGAAGTGTATGAATGGAGGGGGTGGGACTCCAGCCCCCCCCTTTCTTAGGAGTCAGCCAGTCCCTCTGCAGTGTTTGGGCTTCACTGATTCGCTCTCTGGAGTGAGCCTATTTGCATGCGGCTCGCCCATTTGTGAATTTGGCTCCCTAAATCCTCGCTTCACTTCACCTGCGCTTCCTAGTTGCCTTCACTTAGCGCGCCGGGCCCGCGTCTCCCGCTTCGCCTCGGGCTGCCGGGGCTGCCTGGATCCGGGACCGCCGATCCCCGCCGCCGCCTCCTCGCCACTTCTTGTGCCTCTCTCCTTTGCACTCTCGCCCGGGAAGATCCGCCCCTGCCCTCCCAGGGTTAAGCAGCCTCAGCTCTCTCGCCTGGATGCAGCAGGACGCAGGATAACGACCCCGATCAGTGTGTGTGTGCACGCGTGTGCGTGTCCGTGTGTGCGCCTCGCACTTCTGCATTGCAACACTTGCTGGTGGAGAAGCAAGTGAACCCCCTTGGAATTGGGATAAAGCAAAATCCAAAACGTTCCTGGGGTCTCTGGCTTTTTTCTTTTTGTCCCCCCTTTTTTCTTCTATTTTTCTGTCCCCCCTCCCTCTCCTCTCCTTTCCTGAGAGGGGAGGATCACATGCAGGGAGAGCCCTCAAGGACCCTGGGATCAAAACTCGTGGCAGAGGTGATAGCTTTTGTTAGATCAGCTCGATATTTGCACCAACAACAACAACAAAAAAAGAAATCTTTTCCGTGATCCTGGAGGGATCTGACAAGTGAAAGATCCAGGATCCTCCCGCCATGTGCGGCTTTTCTCGTCCCACCTGGAGGCTGGGTCCAGCAGAGGGGTCCCTGGCCCTGTAGCTTCAGTCCTGGGAGACAGCGAGCTCATTTTTCTGCCGGTTGCTATTCCCCGTCGCCCGTGCCCTCCCCTCCTCGCACACGCACACACTGACACACGCACTCACACTCACAGGCGCTCCCCCCTCCCCCCCGCGCTTGGAAGCGACTCTCGCTTCTCCTAGGATGGGCCCTTGGGCATCATGAGCCTCCCCCCGGCTGCCCGGCTGCAGTTCAACCCGCCCGTCTGTAGGTGCCCCGTGCATTGACCATGCACCTGCGAGCCGAGGCCGGCGTGTGCCCGGGCCGCCGCCCCGCCGGGCCCCTGTGGATGTGCTCCCTCTTTTGGGGATGTATCGTCAGCTCCGTGTGGACTTCCTCCAACGTGGCTTCTTCTGCCTCCTCCGCGGTTCAGGCTCCGCACGAGCATCACTTCCACGGCAGCAAGCACCACTCCGTGCCTATCTCCATCTACCGCTCCCCGGGCTCCCTGCGCGGAGGACACGGTGGGTTCCCGCTCGCTTCGCATCGCTTCGGACCGCCGCGGCTCGTCCTGCTGCTCGCTGCCTCCCTGTGGGCGCGCCGGGACCGGGCGGGGCGGGACGGGGGGTCGTGCCGGGGGCTGGGGCCGGGACAGGGACAGGGACCGGGACCTGTCCACCCCGCCTTGCAACAGGAAAGTTTGGTGACCAGCGCTGGGCCGCCGGGGGACCCGCCACATCTGGCAGCAGCGGCCCCCGCCCCGGCGCGGAGA